GACTACTGCTATGACCAGCTGCAAAGCTGGTAACAGAGACGTCTCGGTTGACGTTTCTGTGTAGTATGGGGCTAGCCCCACCGAGGGGATATAATGTATAGGCCTGGTGGGTTCAGGGTCTTTCATCTTACATCTGCCTGCGAGCAGTTTGGAGGTGCAAGATACCTGAGCGTGTAATGTTAATTTTACCTGTGATCCTTTGAATAAATCAGCACTGTTTTGAAGTTACTTGGACTGTCTCGTCTCTCAGAGTCCGTATGGTAAAAAGTACCGGATACAACACTAGTGATGTCAAAAAAAGTAATTCTAATGATTCTTTTTATATTTTTACATTTTTATAGGTTTTACAATCTACATAAGAATATATAAGATTGTATTATATGTGTAATAGCAGTTCATCCAACTCTCACTTCTGGAGGGTCTTTAGCCTTTTTAAAATGAACATTGTGGGTCTGTTTATTCCAGTTATCATCATGGGTTTCTGCTACTCACAGATCATCTGGACGCTTCTGACCAGCCAGTCATCCAAGAAACAAGCCATCCGTTTAGTACTGGTAGTGGTAATTGTTTTTGTGTGCTGCTGGCTCCCGTACAACATTGCATCATTCTTCAAAGCACTGGAGCTACTGGGTATCTACACAGACTGTGAAAAGAGCAAAGCCATCATTCTGACTTTACAAATTACTGAGGCCATCAGCTATTCCCACAGCTCCTTCAACCCCATCCTGTATGTGTTCGCTTCTCAAATCTGCATGTGATATATTTCCTGTAGACTGAACAACTCTTTACACTTTACTAGAGTAGTGCTGGTTCCCTATTAACTCATCATCATCAAAATGTGTTTAAAAGTTTTGTTGTTGTTGTTGTTGTTTTTTTTACTCTGGTAGTCCAGAACACTGCTGTGACATTTGAACATGAAGTGGTGGGCTCCACCTGGAAGTGGTTTGAGTCTCAGTTTGAAATGAAGAAGGGACACATTTAAGTACTGGTGCTGGTCCTGCGATCTCTGAGTGACCCCAGAACACAGCTCCCAGAGGAATTCAGAAATGTCTGAATAAAACCCGTTTGATTCCATGCTTGCTCATAGAAAATAACACTGGGTTTTGCATAATTATGGAAATCGCTAATAAGAACAAAAACCGTGTTTAAATTACTGCATTCTTTGTAATTTTGAAATCAATAAGAGAGGAGAAAGTAAGAGACCTAAATTCATCTGAACAAAGTGTGATCATCAAACTATGAAATACAATATAAGTTCTATAGTGCCATCCAGCGGTCCTGGTTGCACAGTGGGCGTACTGCATATTTGATAGCGATCTTACAGTTGTGTAAGCCACAGTCACATCATGTTCTCTGGAGTAAGATCTGACTGTCTACGTATTTTTCAAAAAGCACTGTGAAAATCCCTTTCATAAATATGACCGATAATAGCTTGATATCTTTGCTATTCAACTTTTCTTTGGGTTTCACTTGTTTTAACCATGATCAGTTAGTGAGTCAATGTTGAAATCAGTGGGTGAAGGAAATAAAAAGGTGCCCAGAAGCTTAAGATATCAAAGGGAGAATTGCTGTTTAGATGGTAAAAATGATACCATGTTCAGTAGAATTCTATAATTATCAGTTGACACAGTATGTGTTCATAGGTCAAACTAAATGTGTAAAGCAAAACACACATAAGAAGAAGAAGCAGAAGAAGCAGTAGGCGAGCATGCATCACCTTCATACTTCAGAGACCTTGCGTGAGATTGTGATCACAAGATTAAAAGTAAAGATTGCACAGATAAGTCTTCTGTGGTTTCATGCAAAAAATATTTGCTGCTGTGGTAGCTTCAGGAAAAAAAAAAAGATAATAATAGTTAAATGTTTTCACACATACACCCATATGAATACAGAATGTTCCGCATGCAAGGATGCAGGTGCACTAAGGTAAACTGGCATATCAATGGTTAGTTACTTCTTAAAGTCAACAACAAAGCTTCTATTTGTCAACATTATAATCTATTATCTTTAACCCTGTAAACCTGACACATAAAAAAATAGCCAGAACATTCAAATTTTTTTGGAACTGAGATGTTTATTAAACCTTTTAACAAAATCCAAAAGAAAATTTAAGATTCAAGATTTTTTTTTTTGCCATTTATGCATAGACAGACAGTCCAGGTATATACCGTAGGAATAAATGTGCCATATTATTTTGTTTATTTTTATTTTTTTGTATCACATTTGATACATGGGGCATTTTTGGCAACTTTTTGCTCAGAAACATGCATAGCAAATGGTTTTATAGGGTTAAAAGATTACAACTGCACAAACTATTATTGAATACTAATACATTCTTTGTGGTTTCTTTTCCTTGACAAATACACAAGAAGGATAATCTTTGTCTTCACACTCACTGGAGCATAAATCAGTTGTCCTTATGATAAATTCTCTGTTTTACAAAATAATAACATACATGACTAACATCAGGAGTGAGTTAAGTAGGTGGGGGATTTATGACACAACAGAGTGTACCAACTCACACACTGCAGCCGCAGCTGCAGAGGGTAGATAAGATCAGTAGCAGTGATAGTTCTTGTTTATAGGCTATCACAGGCACAGATCTCTACCAGAACAAATGAACTGACATAATTTTATTGCACACATCTCCTTGTTGTTGTTTTAATCTTATCACCTTGCTGTTCATTGTTGGAAACAAAAGTTTCCCCTCAGCTGGTCTAAATATCACATGAGCACTTCAACCTTTACACGTGAAACCAGTATGCTTTTTTTCTCCTTTCCTGTAGTTTGAACTGAAAACAAATATCCAGTTTAAAATCACCCTTCATGTCCCAAGATGCAAAAGTTGTTTATTATGACAGTTTTTCATTCATTCTGATTGATTGTTGACCTGTTCTGGGTTTTCCCTCTGCCTTCTGTCAATGACAGGAATATGCACCGCCTCACCTTCCAACCCTCGAAGGTTATGGGCAAATTAGTAATAGTAATAGTTTCAAGACGAAAGACACTTCCAGATGTAGGTGTATGTCAGTATATCGTACGTGCATACAAAATTTCAGACACACCAGCTGTTCCTTGTACGTTTAATGGCAAAATAACAGAGGACAAAAAATAAATATTTACAACACAATGACATGTAAACACAGTCTTCTGTACAAAGAAATATACATGCAAAAGTAAAAATAAGTCATAAGACATTCAAATTGACATTGCTGCAGTCTTGTTCTATGTGTTCTGAAATCTGACAGTTATGAGGTTCCTGGGTGTGGGCAAACTGCTCGACCCTCTCTGTACATCACGAACAGGCTGGGTCTCTCAAAGGCATTTTTATTACTTAGTATGTTATATTTGTTCACGTATATTCTTTGTGAGTATTCGATAAATTGATTAACAGGATGATTTGGGGAAATTCAGATCTATGTTAATAAATAAAAATGACACAAAATGACTTCAACTGTAAAGACCAACAAGAGTCATTTAACTCAACATGTTAACTTCTTTAACATTAAACCATTATGTGACAGTAACACTTAAGAGCTTGCAAATAAAACAGACAATGCATGTTTTAGTTTCACGCACATCTCTAGATTTAAAAAGAGGAAGGTTTATCGACTCATTCAAATAAATAACTGGGAGAGAGCTCTTTTACGGCAGATACTGTTGATGCTGATGAATATTTATAAAAGTGATTTGGTTATGTCCTAAAAAGGACACACTCATTTAAAATCAATGATAAAAGGGCCACAATGAGCATTTTTCCAGATCTATTGCTTGGTAAAAAATGTCAACCAAGTCTGTTTTATAAAGTCAAACTCAGATGTCTAGCAACATACACCAGCACCTACCTACAAAAGCCAAACAAACTCACACAGCAAACCATCTAGTGCACAGCTTGAAAAAAGACAAGTAAAATATTAGGGTTGTTTTTCAGCAATATACCAAACAAGTTCTTATTACAATAAAAATAAATAAATCCAGACTGAACTTATGTAAACACATATGCTTGGGTTCATTGTGCTCTGTTATAACTTAACACAGGAAATCATAAAAAAAAACCAAGCACACATTTTAGCCGGAAAAGAAAGCATAGTCAGCTTTGGTATTGTTACAGAAAATACAAACATAACTGTGACAAAATGAAAGCATAAGTGCCTATGTTTTATAGATACACAGTTTTATACATTATTTCCGAAAATCCTCCTCTTGTGTGGGGGGTTTTGCAGATATTAATACTGAACTTAATACATAAGAGTCAACACAATACAGATGTCTACCGCAGTACCAGGTACGTACATGCCTTTTTTAAAGAATACAGCTACAACACAAGTCTTCATAAATAGTTGCATAAATGTTAAAGCTGCAACATTGCACATGGGAAGTGATGCAAAATATGAGTGCATTTCTAGAAGCGGTTTGTTCATGGTGAAAATCTGGCCCCTGAGGGTCCGCACCGCGTGACTCACCTCTCTACCTGTAGGGGCTCATCAATTCTTTAAATTGTCCAGAAAATTCTTCAAAATGAAAATGAAAGGCAGGGATACGTTATTTACAAATAAGGCGGATGCAGGTAGAAGTCTGAGAAGCTTTGTCCAGTAGCTTTAATGCTTTTCCACGATAATTGAATGTTTCTTAGTGTCACAAAGTGAAATGATTTCCCCTTTCAAATTGAAGTAGGAGCATCAAGATTAGCAAACTATTGCACTGAGTGTAACTACAATGTGTTTCTGGAAAACGAGGTTTTGGTCTTCGTCTAGAATAAATGGACCCTGCTGATGGGTGCCACTTGTCTTTCCACTTACTAACTAACCTTTGTTTTCCAAAAAACGAATAAAGACAGTTATTCTGTTTCCTTGCTGTACATGGTTTGACTTACAAAAAGTAATCTCTCATTACAAAAAAACATTTTCTATGTTCAACCGAAAGCAGCCTGAATTACTCTTATTATACAGTATTCTGTTTTCTCTGTTTAACACTGTCCAAAACCCAAGACTTACTCACGCTGGCTCGTTGAGAAAGCTTGGTTTTCTCCCTGCCAAGTCAAAGTTTGAAATCTCAAACAGATTCCAACAGTTTATTTGTTGTGCAGGCATAATGACAATATGCCAAGGTTAAGGACAGGAGGGGAGAGTCAGAGGGCTTATTAGCAGAGTAGTCAGTCGGTCAGCAGCAGCAGCAGGACCTTTGTGGCTTAGTGAGGGAAAAGGAAATCATCAGGGACATGTTGCTGGTGGTCCTCTCAGTAAGTTCATCTGAACCAGGTCACTCATTCACTACAGTTTGCTGGATAGATATGGATTCCTTCTAGATTACAACAATGCAGGAAGAAGTGGCTACGGTACATGTTGTTGCTCTTATATTTACCTAGTGACCTGTCAGTCAGACGTGGTTAAGCAGGCGACTGTGTAGGAAGGCCTTAATGGTGCCAACGGGCCGGACATCATTCTGATGTTTCCGTCTCTCGATGAAGGAGATGAGTCTGGAGGTGTCCAGATGTGTTGTGGTGTGACTCTGAGATGGCGGTTGAGAGTGATTTAAGGTGGCATGCCCAGTGTCTCTGTTTATTCCACTTCGAGGTTGGAGCCAAGGCTCCTGCAGGCAGGACGCTGCAGAGGGCCTTCGTTCAGGCTCGCCCTGAAGCAGCAGGCACACAAAGTCCCTGGCAGCTGGGCTCACACCCTGGAAGTAGTCCTCAGGGAAGCTGAAGTCCAGGCGACAGATGTTCAGACACGTCTCCTCCAAACTCTCATCCAGGAAGGGAGAGGCACCGCTTAGTACAACGTAGGTTACCACCCCTGTAAATCAATCAACAGGTCAGTCACTTAGTGATGAGCTGCATTATCAGCTAATCATTTTCATTGTTTTTTTAACAAATATGTTTTAGAAAGTAATATATTTGTAATATTTTATATTTTTATGCCTGTTTTAATCAAATCATATAGTGACACCACTATATTTAAGCCATTTTATGAAACTGATTTATTTTCTACCCTGACATCAATAATGCCAAAACAATCCTTTTCCAGATAATTCAGCTGTCAGAAAACTTTTTTTACTCTGTTCTCCTGAGGAAATGTATAATCCCTATAACTGCAGAATCTCACATGAAGCATCAAAATACAAAATGTAATTATATATTTCTAAATACGTTATTTATTTAATATTTGCCCAAGATAAAAATCCCACATTCTTAATTACCTAAGCTCCAGAGATCAGACATCAGTGAGACAGGCTGGCCCAGGACCAGCTCCGGGGCAGAGAACTCTGGACTCCCCATGACAGGATGGATGTAGGAGCAGGGAGGGGTTAGCTGAACGGCATCACCAAAATCTGTCAGCTTGATTACCGGCTGGGATGACGCATGTTCCACCATAATGTTCTCGGGCTGCAAGAGCAGGAAAAAAGTCATTTTAAATCAATATTTTTGCTGCTTTGCCTTAATTAGATTGCAAGAGATTGAGATGGTGCAGTTTGTGCTCCGCTTCTCTGAACCTCAAAGCCGCTGGCGATACTCAAGAAAACATCTTTGTTAACACTAGCAAAGCAACCGGTCCACTTGATGCTGAATTGATTTCTTTTCATTTGTTCACCAACTCTTTTTGGCATTCAGCTAAATTTTACGGTGAAAAGAAAACTTCTGAACATTCCCTGATTGTCTACAATAAAGCTCTATGAATTCCATGTTATTACAAAGATTACCTGACCTGAGGAAACACTGCGTGCTAGGTGAAGTGAGGTAATAATCTATACATTTACTTTGAGATCAAGGTGTGCAATCCTCCAGCTGTGCAGGTAGTGAAGAGCTTCAAGAATATGTCTGAGGTACAGAGCTACTTTCTCCTCAGTCAGGTTACCCCAGCTCACTATATAGTCCAGGAAACGTCCCTGGTCTGCCCTGAAAAAAGAAACTCACTTGTATGACATCGCTGACCTAACAATTCACAGGGACAATCAATTTATATTTTTAAAACAATGGGGAGAAAACTGCTGTACATACATCTCTAGTACAAGTATGTAGCTGTTGGCTGTCTCATATGTGTCCAGCAGCTTGACCAGGTTGGGATGGTCCAGATTCTGTAGGAGTCTGATCTCCTGTAGCACCTGATCCCGACGCAGCAGCTTCTTGTTAATGTGTTTTGCTGCTACTGTACACTTACTCTCTCTCTGGTCACACCGCTTAATCACTGAGAACCGGCCCCTGAGGAGAAGAAATGACATTTTGAGGGATATCTGAATACCATATTTAATATTGTGTTGGCGATTCTGATGTTTTACTTCCACCATGTCTTTGGATCTCAAGCCCACTTTCCAGTGTATTGGTGAAATGAATGTATTGAGTGTCTGTCATGCATTTGCCAACAGAAAACAACAAATCAGTTGGGGATGATGCATGCACTTAAATTTGTCAGGTAAGTCTGTGCCAATAAGGAAGCTGCTATTGTAGTCAATAAGAAACTGCTCATCCAAATACCTTTGTCTGTGTCTTACCGCTGCCTGACTACAGCTATTCCCATGGTATGTAATGTCAGCAGTACAAAGAAATGATTAGCTTTGATTAGCTATGGTCAAACAGCACCACATAGTCAAACAGGCAGCGTTTCGTCAGCCTCACATTCTCACCTTCCTAGTTCATTGATCTCTGTGTAGCAGGACTCAAAGCTTCTTTTCCAGAGAACTTCACTGCCATCATCAGGAGTGCCTGAGAACACATACTGTATTCAGAATGGATTATGGTATACTAACCACTAATTCAGTGGTTAATTTTCCACTTCTATTAAAGTAGTACTTTTTTCCTTGTATATTTGAAAGCAGTTACCAGTAAATGAAAAGTTAAAAGGTTCATACCATAACAGGACTCTCACCTGAGACTTGAAGGTTAGCGGAGGAGGTGACAGAGCCTGCTACATTTGTAGCAACACAGGTGTACACACCACTGTCGTCGACAGACACTCCCAGGATACGCAGGGCTGCCTCTCCTGTCTCACTGCAGCAAAACAGAATAAAAGGAAGATATACTATCACACAAGATGCACCATGCAAGGTTTTCTCAGTTTGATGACACTCTTTGATTATACTGAATTGCACATGATGCCCCAGTACAGCGACATTTTATATATTTCACTGAAATAATGTGTTGTTTTTTTTTTATGTTAACATTCTCAACTGCACATTTGCATCCATGCAAAGTAAGTCAACGTAAAGTTTGGATCTGAATGTTTACAGTAGTTACATTGAAATCAAGTTCTTTATTACTACAAAAATACAAACTGCTAGTGTTTTACACAATACAAGTCAAAGAAAAAAATAAAACCATATTCCGTCACTGGATATGTTGTCACCTGTAAGTGATGCTGTAGTGTCCATTGCTGCTCAGAGCGTCATTGTCAGGTCCCCGCCAGGTGACAGTGGCCCGGGGTCGACCACACACTTTGCATCTCAGAGTAACACTGTCGCCACTTTCACATGCTACATCGCTCATGGGGATGAGGAACTCTGGAGGAGCTGGAACAAGAGGGTACAGGTTTAAGTTTATGAGGGAAAGTGATCCTGTATCTTAAATCATGAAACATGTTTCTATACATGTTAGAAATAACACGTTTCAAATGCTTATGACAGGAAGGGATAGATGCAGGGAAATGTAAAAGACCTTAATGACAAATTCAAAGACTAGGTTTATTCTTTAGGCTTCAATTTCAAACACATTTCTTGACAAAAACATAAAATATATACATACCATCATAGATGAAGTTTGGATTTAGAAGCTATAATGAAAAAGTAATGACAAACATTAAATTTTTTGCATATAAATATAAGGAGAGGGCAGTGCCAAGAAGGAACTTCACACTTTCTACCTTGACAGAGACTTTGTTGGCCAGGCTGTCCTGAGACTTGCGGTAGCCGTTCTCCATTTTTCTGCCTTCTTTGTCTCTTTTTTCAGATTTTCGGCGGATACGGAGTGCTGTATGCCATGATAATGATTTTCTAAACCAGACAAGACGAAAAAGGAAAGATTTTAGGTTTCGTTATTGCAAAATTGTGATGAAAACTGATATTTATGCTTGCATGTGTTTGTCTTATGAACAGGAAAAATATCACTTATTCTTACTTGATAGTTCCTTCAGGGAATTCGGGTGTGAAGGAGGATGAGGTATGTCCTAATACGTAACCAGGGATCCAGCCCTCAGCCGCAGGGCAATGCTCGTTGGCTGCCCGATACACCAGGAACATATTCTGTTGGTTGCTGGCCAGTATTTGGACCACCTCACCCTGCACCACACTGATCTCATCCTCCTTCACTGCCACATAGTCCTGAGTCACCAACATGGTGGAGACACTGCTGCTGCTACTGCTTTCACTCTGTCAGAGGAAGTTGTTAAAGTTTAGCCTTAAGCACACAGCCCCACACAGAACGAGACTGCACACTTATGTAAACACATTTGCACTCACATACGACGCATGACTTAAAATAAACATATTCCTGAAAAAGGTAAGCTGAGATGTTTATCAGTAGCTTCATACCAATCAACATGACCTTGCAGCACAGCATGCAGTAAAGTAAAAGAAACAGTTTATGTTTGCAGTGAAAACTGCCAAGTCACTATACAAGACTGAGATTAGAGAATGTCAGAAATGTCAAAATACAGAAGTTGTATCCAGAAACTGTATGAAAACAATTTCTAAGAAAAAAAAAGAAACATAGAAGACATAGATCAGTTTGAAAAAAAAACAGAGATGGTGGAAGTGAAATAAACAGTAGCTGGTGTAGTCTAGAGTTTAACCAGTGCAGAAACCATCCTAAACTGGCTTAAAGGAAAAAGGGGAAAGCAGGTCATATGTGAAAGTGCTCCTCACGCAGGGCAAAGATTGGGCTAGAGATCACATGAGATTTTCCCATGGAAGAATGAATGAATACAATGAAAAAAGTTATTTGGTAACGGTTAGTATCTAGTAGCTGCAGCTGAGAAGCAAACACATACTGAAGCTCAGAGAGAGTGTCTCAAAAAGCAGATACAACAGTTGCTCTATGAGTCAGGTCCTCACTGTTAGTACAGCCTGGGAGAGCCAGAGAATTCTCACAGCGTCGGTGAAGTTAGTGCACTCAGATAGCTGTTAATCTCCAGTGTAGTAGCTGCTGCATGTACAAGCCATTCTCAGAGCCAGTGGCGGGGGGGCTGACTGACAGCCAGTCAGTAAGGGTGGTTAGTCACTAGTGAGTAGCTCTAGGCCACACTGAAGCCTGGGCCTCAACTTGGCATCTTACCCCGTTGCTCTGGGTGGAGTGTATGGACTGCTCGCTGGTGGAGGAGCAGGTGCTCATGCGGTCTATGTCCTTACTGTGAGTGGAGTGGCGGTGATGAGAAGGCATCCCGTGGCTTCCTCTGCCCAAAGATTCCCCTCCACTACCACTATCACTGGGGTAAGAGAAGGAACCAGACCAGCTGGCAGGAGATGGAGGCATAGCAGGGATCATAGCCCAGAAAGTGTTGCCTTTATGAGCTGGGCTGGAGGGGACAAATGATTCCTTTCCTCCTCCTCCAGGGGACTGTGGTGAAATCAGAGGAGAGACTGTCCCAACTCGAGGGCTTCTTAGGGTCAAATTCAGAGGAGCCACAGCCATTTGTGGTATTCCAGCAGCTTGATGTTTCTGAGTTTCCTCATAGCTTCCCAGTGTCTGTCTGACACTTCCCTCCATGTTGCCTGATGCCCTATTACTGTTATTACTATTACTTCCATGAATACTATCCAGCCTCCTTAACTTAGGGGCTTCTGAAGCTAACAGCTCTCCATTTGTGGCACTGTCTGAGTAGGGTTTAGAGGAGAGGGACTGAGGGGACTGAGGGTGGCAAGGTGACCACATACCTGCTGACCTGTCGGGCCCCTCAGGGCCCGGGGGGTGGTGGTGGTGGACGGGCTGGGGGAGGCGTGAGGATGGCTGAGGGATGCGGGAGGGCCGGGAGCGGGGGCCACACAGAGAAGAGGAGCTGCCCCCTGATCCTCCACCGCCACCACCTCCACCTCCCATGTTGGAGGTACTATTGGAGCTGCTGCCCCCGGGCAGGCCTCCAGTACTGCTGCTGCTACTACTGGGTGGACCACTTGGCCCACCACCACCCACATGGTTCCTCTGGTACTCTATGGGTGATGTGAGAGCTGTGGGAGAGGATGAGGGGCAACATTTCATTCATTTGACCAAATTATATTTATATAAAAACTCATATTTCACAACAGATGCTTCTCCTAATTGTTATCATTTCCAGTAATTCATGCCATATATTTGTGCACAGAGTAATACTGTAAACACACCAATGTCTTACCATTGAGGAAATTGCGCTGGTTCTCCAATATCTGGCTGACTTGGTAGACCCAGACTTGACTGACTCCAGGGCTCGTTGAATGGAGGGTGTACTTCTCCAGGTTACCACTAGATGATCTGGAAGTAAGTGTGAACTTGCAGGGGTCATCTGCATGTTCTTCTAGACCCAACCAGCTTACCTGGAGTAATGGGCCAGGGATGGAGAAAGTGACGGAAAGAAAAAGAGTGGTGGGGATTACAAGTTACAAGGACAAGGGGAGATGTTTATATTTAGCTTAATAGATATGAAGCTACAATGGAATCTACACTACATTAGGTGACCATGCAATCCATAATATAATCCCTTTTTTTTCATTTTAATGAGATCATCAGTTGTGGGAAGCCTATATCAACCACTTTCTGCAGTTTTACTGAGCTGTTCTCACTTTGATGCTATTCTTGAAGAGGTAGCCAGGAGTAGAGAAGCCCTTCTTTTTGTCTAGGGGCTCGCTGAAAATGACAATCTGCTCAAATAGGAAGACTCTCCTCTCTTTCATCCTGGACAGAAGTCCTCCATCCTGGTCAGAAACTATGAAGGTGTCTTGGAGGAGCAATCTACCCTGAGCTATAATTTTACCCTGTAGAAAAAGTAGAGCAGAAGGAAAGGGAATGAGAGGACAGACAGAGACGGTGGACAAAAGCATGGCCTTCTAAATTTTTCTCATCCAGAATTTAAGCTCAGAACATACAGGAGAAGAAAAACAAAAAACAAAATAAAGCTATATCTATACCACACAAAAACAACCTATAGTCCTTTTAACATATCTACAAAAAGTGAGTGCATACTGACATCTTGTGGCAGACAGCTGGAATTACAAATTGATTTCAGAGGACGTAAACTATGGACATTATTACATTATTTACTCTAGTAATGTCTTCTAATATTGCATTAGTCAGAGACGCAAACTGAGTGTGTAAAGAGCAGGCTTACATCGAAGCCTTGAAGACGCCCAACATTCATCATGTCATTACAGCGCTTGGGGACAACACACATCACCTCCACAGCCTTCTAAAGTAGAATGTCAGAGGAAAACAAACCTTTAGAGACAAACTGCTTGCATAAGAGTGAAGTAAAAAGGCAGCCACCAAAAGGCATATGCATTATAATAGTAAATTTTGTCACTTAAAGCTTGAGCTAAAACCCAGCTTGTCTTACCTCCAGCTCTGTTGTGTCCACTCCAGCCTTCTTAGAAACTTTGAGAAGATCCTGTGAAAGAGTTGTAATGTACAGAGAAATGTTGATTATGTTGCTCAGTAAGTAATATGGAAAGGATCCACTATGATGGATTTACCTTCAGTAGTAGCTGGTACTTCATTATGCGTTGCACAGGTTTGATTAGCAGGTCAGTGAGCTGTAATCTGTGACCCAATCGCTGCTTAAGGTCCTGATGAAAGAGGAAAATATTATCTCTAGCTATTACTGATCATCTGGACGATGCAACATAGAGATGAAGCTGTAGCTCTGGTTAGGATTAAAATGGTTTAACAATCTTACTTCAAAGTATGTATCAATGTATTCAGAAACAATGTGCTCAGACTTCGGCTTGTTCTGACAGTACACGATGTACATGTGTAGCCTCCGCTCCTGTCACAAAAAAGGCAGCTTTCATAAGTAAGGAAAACAATTCTAACACATTTTTGCTCCTTTTTTTACAGCCAGGAAAATGTCCAACAACAAACAAACAAACAAACAAACACCATAATACAAAAAATATGTGAATAGCTTTCTCACCTGTTTGACAAACAAAGGAGCCAGCCTGTCAGGATCCTCCAAGCACTTCTCAAGCTCTCCCAGGAAAAAGCTGAAAATAGACCGAAAGGGAAACACATGGCTTAATCTGCCAAGAAAAATGGTATTGAATGTTACATTTTTTTTATGTGTCAGATAATACAACTTTAAAGACATTTTTCATGTGCAGTGGGGTTTGTTGTGCATGTTAAGTGATGAAGACCGTCAGCATACTCTTTGTGCCAGTCATAGATCTGATGGATGTTTCCAAAAACAATCTTGTCTTTTCCTCTCATGTCATCTGGAACTCCTTCCTCTTTCATCCTGCTCATGTAGCCCTGAGGAAAGTTGACGTGTTGGTAAAATGCACAGCAAACACTGATATATATGAAGAGAACATCCCTGAAAGCGTATGTTAAGCTACTTTAACACCTTTTTCATTCTTTAATTACCTCCACCACTGATCCTAGGTCTCTCACATAGTCTCTCTCAGTTTCCACCAGCTCCAGAAGCACATAACTGAGAGACAGAAAACAAAAATTGTCATTGTGTAAAACAAATGTTGCATCAGGAATGTTCCATATAAATACACACATGAAGACACATGTGATTCATTGGTTGATTTCAAGCAGCTTTTGTTTATCAAAATAACTCACTGTAGCCTCTTGAGGAAGCCGGACTTGCGCTCGTCCACCTCATCGATGGGTGAGGAGGAGGAGAGGAGGGAGTTGTCAGAGGGGTTGAGGGAGGGAGAGCTGCTGTCGCCCTGCTCTACTGACAGAGAACTGGGACGATCCTCCAGAGACTAAGAGAAGAGGAGGACAGAGACAAGAGAGAAGGAAGAGAATAAAGGCTGAAAGAAAGAACCGAGGTGAAAAGCACTATTTACAGAATGTGATCTTATATTTTTGAGAGCTTGTTTCCTTTATTTAACAAACATCAAAATAAAACTGTATGAGCCCAGAAAAAAAAAACTGTACTGCTTTTACTTTGGTCTGTGCCTGTGTGCAGGCCAGTGGACATGAGTGTGCTGGGCTATTGGCCAAAGTGCAATGTCCATGTGTTGGAACAGTAGACAGCTGGCACAGTGAGTCACAGTCCTGGCAGATGACTAGTACGCCATGATGACTTTCAGTGTCAGTAACACGGGGAAAAAAAAGTGTGTGCTTCCATGTAAATCAATTTGAATTGTTCTATGTACAAATGAGCCACATTTGCATGTACTTGTGAGTTTATCTTATTATTTCTATCTCACCATCTTACTCTTCACCAGCTCTTCGATGGCACTGACCAGTTCAGCAGCACTGGGTGTCTCTGAGCTACTGGGACGAGTGGACAGACGAGATGCAGACTGAAAACCAGAGAGAAAACAAAAATAAAAAATTACCGGTTAAGTTTAAAACATGAACTGTAAAACCTGGCGGTAGTACATGCATACAGCATGGCATGATTTCCATTAACTTCTAGTTTGTATGTGATCAGGCTCACCATTGTGAGTTTGGACCCCGGTATTCCACATGTCCACAAAAGGACTGGTGGGTGTGATCTCCCTAATAAAAGGGTTAACTGGGGGCCAAGTTGGAGCCAATTGCAGGCTGGACTTGGGGAAACAGGGGTTATGAGGTAGGTTTACAGCAGGTCAAGGTCTGGACTGGACTGCTCTTCAAGCACGAGCACCATGATTGGTCAAACAACATGTATAAAGCAAACAGTGTTGCTTAATACTCCACTGGAGAGAAGGTTTGCCTTTGCAACAGAGCCCAGTCTGAGGCAAGAATCCCTGCCCACAGCCAGACTTAATGGGAATTTACCATTTATTCCCACAAACACCCCACTGCTGCAGACACAGAATCCCTGCACACAGCCGGACTTAATGGGAATTTACCATTTATTCCCTCAAACACCCCACTGCTGCAGACACAAGTGAATGTAGTATTCACCTCAGCAACAGCAGAATCATTACACTGATTAGAAACGACATTTATTTGGTGGAAGAAAGAAAAGAGGTGCAAGAAAAAGTGAAATCAACAAGGATCCAAAGTGTAGATGATGAAGTGGTTTTACATGGACAGATAGGGAAACTGGGAAAGAAGAGAAGCAGAACAAAAATCAATATAATGCTGCAGGAAGGAACATGCAACCATCAAGAAAATGACAGAGAAAAAAGGAAGGTTATTAGTGCAAAAGTAAAAGATGACTCATGCTCTCTCTGTACTGATGAGAAGTGATATTTATGTACCTGTATGGAACCAACCACAAAGGCCTGGCTGCTTAAACTAAGACTAAGGTGGATAAAATTTAAGTATGGGGCAGATATTTAAGAAATTAGCATTTTTGAAAGGAAAACAAATTTTAAATTTTATCTTCAATAAACATATTCCTGTGGGAAGTTATTTATTGTGTATGTCCCCACACCTAACCTGTATTTGTCTTGTGCGGCATTGTCCATTGTGCTTCCAGCATACCATTGTCTGTCACCATGTATAGTTACATGTACATGCATCCATCCTGGCCTTTGTGACTCACCTTATCATCCTGGGAGTCGGGCTGCAGCAGGCTGTGTTGCTGGATGGCCATAGGGGGAGGCAGAGGGACTGTGTCAGCCCCCTCCTCTCCTTCCTCCTCGCCGCAGCTCTGCATGCCTGATGAAGAAGACTTAGACAGGGTGCCACTGCTCAGCCCCTCATTACGCATACGCTAAAGAGAGAACAAAAGAAAACAGTGACTGTCAGTCAGTTCTGGGTTTTTGAATGTTCTGACAGCTACTTGTTTATCTGTCATTACTTCCTCCAGTGTCTCGTCCTGCGGCGTGGCAGCGCTGTCATCAGAGTCCTTCTGCGAGCCGGGAATCATGTCCATATTCTTCCTTGTGCCATCACGGTTCTTCTTGTGCTTGTGAGCGAGCTTTTTGACGTGGCCGTCAGCTTTGCCGGAGCTCAGCCGCCGTACAGGGCTGGTCAGCCACTTCCTTAGAGTATTCCCAGGACGTTTGGGGCCTGGTGAGCTGTGAGGGCCCAGAGTATGACTGGAGCCTGGCTGCAGGGCGTCGTTACTGGACACAGACAAGGTGTCTAAAGGTGAGGAAGAGAAAAGAAAGAGAGGGTTGATGATGATATTAAGGATCTGATATTCCATGATCCAAATGTAGAGATGGAAACATAGTAACTTGCTGTTAATCTTATGTTGACTGACGGCCCCTTTTAATTCAGGGACTACAACTAGACAACACCAGATCCAGGTGATCAATGTTTGGTTTGTTTACATCATAAAACAAGCCTGCAAAAGCAAAACAGTCAAAGTATAAAGCTTCAGTTTAAAAAAGGCATTTGGTCAAAATTATTTCAAATTAGACTACAGTTATCAATAACTGTCTAACAAGCAAATAAATTATAGGCGCTGTGTATGTATAGATCAGCTGTCATATAATTTAAGATGTAGAAAAGAGAATGTACAGTATATGATAAATGAGTGTGCATTTGTTGGTAGTTTTTCTTATGTGGAGTGGGTAGGCTGGCCTCCCCCTCCCAGAAATGGTGGCTCCCTGGGGAATCTGTAGGAGGGCAGCTCCTCTTAAACTAGGAATTGAGCAACAAGAAAATAACACATGGATGCTTGAGGCTGTCTGAAGATGTATCTGTTTGTCTCACCTGTCTGCTTGTTCACTCCTGTTCCTTCCTTTAGACTAACCCCTTCCTCATCCACAAACATTCCCTCATTCATTTTGTTCACTGTCATCAAAATTGATGCCGAAGAGAAAGAAACAAAACCTATCACCTGGCTCAACAAGCTATTTGCCAAAGGAGTCTTGAGATGCTAACGTTGAGTGGGAAATTCTTTGTTTACAGTCCCACCCACAAGTTTGATACCATAGCGTTCCCTGGGCA